AGAGAGAAGTTTGGCATACAGTACATGACTCACAGCTTTACTTCTTCTCAGGTACTCGATATCTCTTAGATGTCGGATAAAGCTGTTCCCAAGATATCTTTTTGTATTGACCAAAAACTTTTCCAAAACATCAATACTCTAACCTATATGCTTTATATATTTTTGTAGGGCAATTGTTGAAGATCCTTGATTGATGTGTCATGGGCCCTCGCTCGTAAATTCATAATTTACTCTTGGAAAAAACAAGTTTGGAAATCAATCAGTACACCTCAAAACTCAGCTGTGTGTTTAGTCTCGGCGATCAAGTGGAAAATACAACCCCAGCATCATTCGCGTAATCTCAGACTGCTCTGTGGTTTTCCACTGTCTCTGTCAGTCAGTCATGAGTGTGAGGGTGCTGTCTGGAGTCTGACCCCACTGCCCACATCTCTACTGCATGTTGTATAACTGGGATCATGAAACTCTACCTGTTTTGGTGCATTTTTGCAAGACAGTGTAGCGTCTGCATGGCATGGCAACAGAACGTTGCGTAACTACAGCTCTATATCACATTCTCAATCAAATAAGCAGTACAACTGAACTGTAAGACAGACTGGCTTTCTTCCTTGTTGTTTTAATCTTAGTGATATTGTACAGATTTCCCTTTTTTTTATCAAAGTTTGAGAGGCTAGTCCTGTGCGTGGTCTGCGACATGATGGTATCACTGTCAGTATGTGCGTGTGTACACCACATTGTCCTGCTCTGCAGGTGAAATGAAGCGCTGACCTGGGTCAGCAGCCCCGTGCATACTTAGCAGCAGTCAGGCAGAACAATGTCACAGCACTGCCCAAAACAGCAGGACTTTTCCTGCTCAGCCGCTGACATGTCCAACTCCAGCCCTCCAGCCCCATGGCCCCCAGACTACCTCTCAGAATATTTGTTCAAACTGAAAGGGACCCAACAATTCGAACATCATTTCTCAAATATTTGTCAGGCTCAGTTTGGGTTCAGGTTTTATGTTTAGGGTTTTTGCTCTACCCGTTGGCCAGCTTTGATGAATGTTTGCTTATGTTTACTCTTTCTCCATACTTTATTATTCCTCTACTATTATTAGTCCTCCTTAAACAAGTTTTAATCTGGCACCCAGGATTCACTCACATTGAGGTCCACGAAGCGTACACAAAAAAGTGGACATGGGTGAAACAGCAGGTTCAGGTAGAGTTGGGACGGAAATTTGTCAGGCTGCAGTTGGGTTCAAATAGAATTTTTCTCAGATTATAATCTGATTGGGACGGAATTTTTCAGGCCACAGTTGGGTTGAAATAGAATTTTTTTAGATTATAATCTGATTAGGACAGAATTTTTCAGGCCACAGTTGGGTTCAAGCAGGATTTTGTTGGGCCTAGTTGGATTGGGACAGAATTTTGTCAGCTGACATTGGGTTCAGACAGAACTTCGTGAAGCTACAGTCAGATTAGGACAGAATTTCATTGGACCACAGAGGGAGTAAAACAGAATTTTTTTTCAGGCTACAGTTGGGTTGGGGCAGAATTTTGTCGAATACATTCTGGTTCAGACAGAATTTTGTTGAGCTACATTCACTGGGCTAAAGAAGTCTTTATCACTTTTTAGTGGTACCCTACACACTATTGTTAAACTCTAGAAAGCTTCTACACCCCTTAGTTAGGCATCTGCCCCCTCCGATCTAATCTGAGTGTGCATGCTGCAGGAAAATTTGGAGTGTGCCATGGCGTGTGCTGCGCTGTGCAGATCAGTTTGTCATTGCCAAGAATGTGTGCGTTTGCAGCAAGAGCAGGCGGGAAGAGAGCAAGACTAATGACAGCTGGGAGGGAGCTGGTCTCTCTGGGTGTGGGGATAAAGAGGCAAACAGTGCAGGCTGCTGTCTCGCCATGCTCAGCTTACTGCTCTCACAGGACCACTCAGGTACACAGCCCACCTCACCACCACTACGCAATCCACTGCCTTAGCCAGAACCAATATCTCTATCCTTTCTCCTCTCCTGGGTCTTACAGAAAGGACAAATCTATGTGTAATCATTCTGTTTGAGCAGAATAGCTCTGTCTGTTAAACATTTCAGTTAGCACTGTTTGGTTGCCATATTCAGTACAGTCTAGAGGTAATTGGACAGTGAGATAGTTAGTTTTTGTTGTATTGACTCTGTTCTCCAGAAAAAGACCCCTTAAACTGCAACTGTTTACCCCTTAAACTGCAGGCTGATTGTTCAGATATAAATAAAATGAAAGTTATGCTGCTGTGACAGTGAGGAAATTGAAGCAGTTTAAGGGGTTAAAGTGCAGGATGCCTCCAATTTGGGGGTATTTATGCCTATATTAGGTTACTATATGTCAAGGTCCCCTGAAGTGGTAGAGCAATGTATAAAAAAAGTTGATTCATATACAGTTAATCAAGTGTATATGTAAAAATGCTTGAATTAAAACCGGTGTCACTTTCACTTTAACCTCATACTCAATATTTTCTGTCAAATCCAATGTGCTGGAACACAGAGCCAACCCAACAAAACTCGGTCACTGTCCACTTACCAGCCCACTATCCAGAGGACTGTAATATCCAAAACATTGTAACGTTGTATGACTTCAATTGCTCTCTGGTTGCATTTGTGTATACTTTGGGTAATGAATCACTTTAAATTCCCATAAATTGAATGAAGAGAAATGAGAGATGATTTGTGTTGTGTTGGAGGATATAATTGGGCGCTGTAATCACCTGTAATGTGGAACATGTGACATTACTCCCACTCCACTGGCGCTGACCCAGGGGCTGTGTGCTTTCAGAGACACTGTATAGCTCATTGGATTATATTGCATTATACCATTCGAAATGAGGCTTGCCGCAAGCTGTGACCAATTAAAGTTGAACAAAGCCAGCTCATCTGCTCAGCTCTGCTTAGTAGGTCAGTGAAATTGGCGGAAGTGAATACACACACGCACACACTTGCATACATGCACACACACACACCCTCCGACTCCTTTTAGCTCAAGGCGCCGCTTTTCTGAGCAGTAGCTTTGGCATCTTTGTACATTTTGCCATGTGCGATGCCATCCTGCTCCATGTGAGAGCACATTACCACGCTTCTGCACGCTGCCATCCTGTCATGTCCAAATCACGTACATAAATCTGGCCTCGCCTCACTGTATGTTACGTGTTAAACAGGAGCGTGTCAGGGAGCTAAACTCTGTTCCTTTAAATGACCTCTGGTGGATGTTAAAAGACGTCTGAACTGGCTGCCTTGTAGGGCTACACAATGTGGACAACATACTAGCTTTGCAATTATATGGCTAAATATTGTAATTGAGATACTTGCCATATAGACCTCTGAAGTGATGCTGCACTCTGTAGTCGGCGTCATGCCCATATTAGGAACTCTAAGTCCACTAATAGACTTCACACTATTATAGACCAACACCACCTACTCAAAATGTACACTGTTAGTGCCAAAACAATGATATTTAGCAAAGCTTGCAGGTTGGGTAACTACATGCTGACTACAGAATGACAAAATGACTTTAGAGGTCTGTTGGTGAATCAATAGTGTGATATAATTAAGGATATCCTGCCTTATTTTGCCCAAAGTAATTTAGTTTTGTTGGTTTGCCTCGATTCATTCAGACACCCTCAGAAATACATCTGGCAAGCAGGACGCTTACAGTGGACAGTAAAACTGAACTGTGATTGTTTAGAGGGCCCATGCTGTATTTCAGCCTTCTGCAAAGTCAGTATTGCGAAGGCCAATCTTGTGATAACCATTAATAGACAATAGCCCTACTACCTTGCTCTTTTTCACTGTATGTTCCATATGTATAAGCAGGCAAAATGGCCCAACCCAGCAGAGCCTGAAGCATGACGATAGGTCATCTCTGTATGGCTCAGGTTACTACAGGAGTGATGCATGAATTGCTGTAGTGCACAAGAAGGCTCGTGTTACAGCAGCAGTTACAGGACAGAGCAATGAGGGAGAGCAGGGCAGGAGCGATGGAGCTGCTGTTTCACTAATGACACTGATTGCGCTGGCCAAGGAGCCACTGCTGCTTTCCGGCAGCTGACCTGTCTAACCTGAGCATGGCTGCTGCACTGTCTGGTAGCTAATGCAGTGATTGAGGCTAGACTGGACTGAGGCCATCATGGAGTTCCAGTTGCACTGCCCAGTTTTATCCATTTGTCCTAATTAAGTCTTAGTTGATTCCCAATCTTTCGGTAGGCCTCTCTTTTATTACACAACAGCCCCAGCAGCTTCAAAGGCTAAAGGCCAATAAACAGCTACTCCAATGTGAATGAAGGCTGCTTTTTGTTCAACATTCCCTCCATGTAAAAATGTTTCATTTCAGAGAACTGTGGAGGTTGGATGTTGGATGTTAAAATGATGACCCCCCCCTCCCCTTTTAAACTGCATAACAGTTATTTTTTTTTTTTAACATTACGGTCAAAATAAAATCAAAATGGATCTTTTTACCTTGATGTCCCTGGTTAGTTCATCATACCATGCCATTTTAATGACAAGATATTTGTTTTCCTGCAATCTTTGATCGCAGTGTAGTGACTATTGCTCGCCTAAACATTTTTTTTTTTTAAATCATGTCACCGCACACCAGCGAGTGGAGAAAATTATCAACCATTATCATGTTTTACCTCCCACCACCCCACCTATTATCAAGCGAAATGCTCAGCTAGCTCAGAGGCCCTCCCTGACATTGTATTGTTCTTGGAAAAACAGTACATCATGGGCCAGAAGGAAAATATTTTATGATTTCTAATTCACATCAAGTTTACCCCTCAAACCCTACATTCATTATTCACGTAATGATCTTAAGACTTCTTAAACAGCAACTATTATGCATTGTTTGGTGATATAACTAATTTGCATGTTAAATAGCTTTGAGAGTGAGGAATTTATTTGATTTAATCTAAGTAAGGTATCTGCAAGGTCTGCTCCATTACCATTTTACCCAACACATCCGCTTTTTTTGTCCATCCTTGTCTCCCAGGTTACCTTTACAAAGCGGAAGTTTGGCTTGATGAAGAAGGCCTATGAGCTGAGCGTCCTGTGCGACTGTGAGATTGCCCTGATCATATTCAACAGCTCGAACAAGCTCTTTCAGTACGCCAGCACCGACATGGACAAAGTCCTGCTCAAATACACAGAGTACAACGAGCCTCATGAGAGCAGGACCAACTCAGACATTGTGGAGGTGAGTGAATTTTCATCTGCTGCTTTTAGCACGACTAATAGCAACTTCAGAAAGGGCCAAATGGAAACGTGTGAGGATGTGGTTCATCTGCTGTTCTCAGGTTGACTAAATATTTGATTCCCTTCTCAGATACACATACAGTACAAAACACTTCCAACTCTTTACCAGAAAATGTATTTTATAGCATAGCTAAAGTACTGATGCCTGCCATTGTCCCACATAGAGACCTGTTTGCTTTGGGTGTAAGCTATGAAACAGATCAATTTCAGTTTAGGCAACCTTTGTAGCCTTTGTATTATCACAAAAAGGAGCACTATATATATGTTATAGGGACATTTTCTATCACATTTATCGCAAAAATGGAATTCGCCTGACTCAATTCAGTGGTCCACTTTATTGAGCCAGGGAAGGGAGGTGTTGTCCAGACCAGTTCTGCCGACTATGAATACTAACTTCATATCTGTTTCATTTTCAGTCACATCAAAAATTAATGTTAATTGAATGGGATAGACGTTAGATATATACACTACCATTGGAAAGTTTTACCATTGAGAAGTTTGAAATTGTTTTTATTGATACAAAACCAATTTGTCAAAAATACATGTATAAAATGAGTTTATTAAGATGCTGCTGCTAAATTTTAACTGACTTGTTGGAAGTTGGAAGTAAAAATTAAGAAGGGTCCAGAGTGATGTAGATGATTCTGTAATGCCTGAGAGATCTGTATAACACTGAGAATGATCAACTTAATATCCAGAATCTCGAGATGAACACCTTATCAAAGAATGACAGTAAATGGATCATTGCAATGTATTATTTATTGTTTAATTACTTTAGGCTCCCAAAAAGCTTGAAATACTGAAGAAAGCATCTTAAAATACATAGCTAATAGTAATTTAATCCACATTGTATAAGTTATTATGGAATAAAATAACAGTAATTATTAATATGAAAAGTGATTTCAAACTTTTGTTTCTTAGTTTTGGTTATATTAGCGCTGATCAGCTTAGCAATGACAGTATGACATTGTACACTTGTACCACTCTTACATAATTACAATGAATTATGAGCTGAAAGCTGGATGCTGTGTGAATTGTCCTGACCACTTCACAGAATTATGAATATTCATTTTTTTCAGTCAGATTAAAAATGAATGGTGATTAAATATTAGACTCCAATCTCAAAAGAATTTATTGTTTTTAGTCATTTGGGTGCTGATCAGCTTAGCAGATATCATGCAAATATCTGGCACTATCAATTAATTACTATGTATGATGAGCTGACAGATCTAGTGCATGTATTTTTTTATGTAACCCTAGGACAACAGTTGACATTAGTCATGAAGTTTACAAAAACAGGGCTATGTGCAGACGTGATGAGACCAGGCAACATATATCTGGCGGGTAACCGTTTCCGTCTCATTCTTGTTCTGATAGGGCTTCAGGACGTCTGTAGGACCTGATAAAGTCTAACCCAGCTTCAGTCTGGCAACTGCCAAAGAGCACAGGTCACGAAGCAGCTCCCCTGTTGCCAGACACGCTGTATGGGGGCTTTAGTTCATTTTGCAAAGCGATCCTGTAACTCCTGGTTGATTTATTTCTTTATTTCCTAATTTGTATAGTGTAGGTGTTTCACGCAAGTGTTTACTCACGACAAGCCAACCCAGCTGGTCCTTAGAATGCAGAATGCAAACCATAAGCATTCTACAGTAGTGCTTATTACAGAGTGCTAGATTTGCCAAGCGTGCACTGTCCTCATTTGTCAAAGCAGCATTCCAGTTTTGTAGGCCAAGACCATCGGCGAGTGGAGAACAGGGCTGACTGCGGCTTCCAAAATTTCCCTCTGACGCAGTTGAGGTTTCTCACTCAGTCCGAAACGTCCTCCACTGTAGCTAGCGCCTGCACCTTCGGACTAAATGAAAAGCAAACACGTCGGCGCAGTAACGATAATAACAAAAGAAAGGGGCTTGTTTGTTTTGAAAACCAATCGCCAAGACAGACACAAACTGGCCTTTGTGGCTTTGGTTCGACTGAGACGTTTTTATGAAACACTTTCAACCTCAACCCAGCTTTCCCGCGCAGCCGTAACATATTCCTGATTCCGCTGGCCCGGGTTGCCTCAAACACGCTTTGTTCTTCGGCCCGTGTTTGACAACGAGAACTTAATAGCTCAATAGTGTGACGTAGGAAAGTCTGTGATCCCAACTAAAAGTGTTCCGCTTAAAAGAGAGAAGGACTAAAATGACATAAAAGGAGTCAGCTGTGGCGATGTTATCTTTTATTCATGCTGATGCCGCTGCTAGTGAATTACCTGCTCGGCAGAGCTGCAAAAGAACGCAAGTTGTCTGCAAGGCCTTGGCTTTCCATCAGGGGCCTTCTGCTGGCCCAGCCCTTCTCAGCATAGTGCATGCCCTCACCTGCATTAAAAATGAATAGACACACTCTTCTCCCCTTATGTAACTGCAACCCCATCACAGCCTTGCCTTTTTTCGAACTGTCTTTTTCTTCACCTCTCTTTTGAGGAGCATGCTGTAAAACCATGCTAAGGACACTCTGGTCTTTCCTTAAAGCAACTCCAAATGTGGTTGATCTGCCAAGGCACTATATGTTCAAAAGTTCGTAGACACCTGGTCAAGCAACATTTCTAAAATCAAGGAAAATAAGTCACCACTTTGCTACAGTAACAGCTTCTTCTGGGAAGGCTTTACACTAAATGGTAAAACAGTGCTGTGAGGACTTGACTGCATTCAACCACAAGAGCATTAATGAGGTCAGGTATTGAAGTTGGAAACACCAACATCACTCTAGTCCAATAGGGATTTAATAACCCTCTAGCTGACACATGGCATGGGGCTTGATCACCTTAGATTCAAGTGGGGCTGCTCCAGAGTGTCTCATTCTATTCTATGCTGATTATACATGCTATTTGTGAGCAACTGAATGGCTGCATCAGCAATAGCAATCAGCAATGGCTGTATCAGCAAGGTAGCTGAATTCCCTAATAAGAAGGGTATGTTTGAACATACAGTATAGCTAACAAATAGCTCATCAGTTAGCATCATGCAAACTGCTTGGCTACATATTAGGTAATCTCAGATAGACCGATGTAAAACCAAAGCAGCAAACTTCAACGAACATGTTTGGCTCACTGACATCATTTGCTGTTAGGGAACCATTTTTGCTGAGCTATCACTTAAATAACCATAAGGGCAGTGTTCCTCTTTTTAGGTATGTTGAAGCTATAGGATGACATCTTCTGTAGTGGATGGAATGGCAACTCTGCCTTGTAAGTGGCACACACAAACAGCAGAGTGCTGTCAAGCAGTGGGGCCAAGCACACAAGCCAGTGGCATGGTGCCGCTCTTTCCCATGTCAGCCCTGTGGCCACTCCAGGGGAGCATGGCCTAGCTCACTAAAGCGGCCAACAAAGCAGCTCTTGTCCCTGCTCAGCAGGCCTGCATCTGTGCTAGGCTGTCCAGATCCCCCTGCAGCCCCGCTGCCTTTGTGGCCAGAGTTCAGAAGTGAAGAAGCAGAGCAGAAGTAAGCCACCTAAAGCCCAGGCTCTCTTTTCCCAGCCCAGGGCACACGCACTACCAAGCCCTGCCGCTGCCAGGGAACAGGGTCATAAAGTAATCAAGGCCCACCGTCAACAAGAGCGATGACTTGGATTCTGGCTGTGATATCTGCACCGTGTCTCCTTAAGGCTCCATTAAGAGTAGCACTGTACAGTGATAAGGCCAAAGGCTATCAGTGCTTCTTATACTGAGTGAATCTGTTAAAGAACGGCATCAATGAGATCACAGAACAAAATATGTACTTCATGATTGATTATTTTTGTACGTAAGAAGAGTCTTTTCCAGCTTATATCAGAAAAAAGTGGTGTTACGTCAGTATAAACATAAGTCACGGCTTAAAACCGCTGTTAAAATTGAATGAGGACATGTTATCTAACTTGCTAATGCTGGTTACAGTTTGGTTCTTCTTGTTAATAATTGTAGCTAGCAGTCATTCCTACAATGCTATTTGTTACTTAGCTTATGTTAGTGCTAGATAATGTTACGTTTGTTTGGACAGTGTGCTTCTATGGTTGACCAGCCCATGATTATGTCACAACGAACAGCTGACAGCTAACCCATAACCCTACATGCATGCATTGCATTGCTCTTTAAAACATGTCTTATATTTTTTATTACCAAATTATTTGGGCCTTTGAAACAGCTTAGAAGTATGCAACACACTTGAGATATGAAAAACCTCTCAAAAGAAGAACTGCCCATATCTGGCTGCCTGTATAAAAACTGCAAGCTTGTTTCTCATCCGAGCGTTACGGTGTTGTGCAGCCACGCTATCCGATTTGGCCATGCGCTCAGCTCATCCTAATGGACGTGAAAGGCTCTGAATGAGTATTTAATGGATGAATTCTCCCCACTCCTCCCTCCCTCTCTTGCTCTCTCCCTGTCTCTCTCTCTCTCTTCTGGTGAAATGTGCTTCACATGGAGGCACTTACACTTATCTAAATTAAACAATTGCATTAAACTCCTAAACGCCACCCAAAACAGTTTGTGCTCTCATTTGCCCATTTTTTATTTCGCCACACACTTTCATTGGGCGGCGAAGGCTTCCCGTTCCATGTGAGATGCCGAATCAAAGGTCACATTCCTCCTCGCTGCCACCATCTGTAGATAAAGGCTTGGCCTTGTAGCGGGGCAGAACAGATGCCGCACTTTCCACAGATGGATGTGTGCCTGGGGCACAGTTTGATAACCAAGTGCAGGGCTATGGACTTCATCTCAAGTCTGGCTTCTTGCAGTTAGCACCAGAGCCCTACACTCAGATTGCTGGGCAAGGGAAGGGTGGAGAAAGTCCACATCTGTGTGTGTGAGTCTTTTAGAATGTGTGTGTGTGTGTGTGTATGTGTGTGGCCAGCGCACGGCGGTTCAACTTCAATAACACTCCAGGCGACAGGTGAAGCGTTGCGTGAAATCTCCCTTTGTGGATCCT